TGATTTTATTGAAAGCCCCCACCCCCTCCTAACCAGGGAATGTACTTCCACTTGAATTCCCACCTTCCTATACAAATGTATCACATTGTACTTCCTTCACTGCCATTATAATGTGTCTCGCAGGTTTGGGGATGAGTCAGGTGATCGGTCATGTGGATTTCTTCCCCAATGGTGGTGTGCAAATGCCCGAATGTCAGGCCTACAAGACCGTCGACATCTACGATGAAGAAATCTTGGACCGTACAGGTGAGTCATTGACGTATATTGTCAGGTGTGTAATATGCACATGACGGATGGATGACGGGAATGAGGGACCAGTCCACCCAGAACTGACATTTCATTGTTTGGTGGATGCTGGGGACCCCAGGCAGTCTCTTCTGTCTCTCGGGGTTCTGCTGGTGAGAAAAGCCGTACAATGTATGGGATATATTCAATCCATCTACGTGATAAGGAACCCTCGTGGTCCAACATGCTGATGATGATCACTGTGATCGCTGTGCTTTATTACACAGATTGCTTTAAAATACCAAATACATTGTATCCCTTTCCCTTTCCCAGTCCAGTCCATATACTTTGTATCCCTTTCCCTTTCCCAGTCCAGTCCATATACTTTGTATCCCTTTCCCAGTCCAGTCCATATACTTTGTATCCCTTTCCCTTTCCCAGTCCAGTCCGTATACATTGTATCCCTTTCCCTTTCCCAGTCCAGTCCGTATACATTGTATCCCTTTCCCTTTCCCAGTCCAGTCCGTATACTTTGTATCCCTTTCCCAGTCCAGTCCATATGCATTGTTTCACCTCATTTTTAAGCCCCCGATGAACTTGGACTATTAGCGCTTGGGGTGGCGCTTCAATCTTGCCTAGAGATACACTTTCCATTCGGGTATTTATACTAGCTGTATTCCATATAGAGTTAATGAGATACATAATTGTATGAATGATTGGCCAGGAGTTTATTGTTAACCGATTCCTGATTGAACTTTTTCCAGCAACATTTTTCTCCCTCCTATGTAACCACGACGCCGCCAAAGTATATTATATCCACAGTATCACCAATCCGAGCGCCTACGTCGGCTACCCCTGCAGCAGCTGGAACAGTTATGTGGCGGTAAGTGAGCTTATCAAACCTCTGAACACTTCCCAGCCAGAGAAACCTCCGAACACTTCCCAGTCCAGAGAAACCTCCGAACAATTCCCAGTCCAGAGAAACCTCCGAACACTTCCCAGTCCAGAGAAACCTCCGAACCCTTCCCAGTCCAGAGAAACCTCCGAACACTTCCCGGTCCAGAGAAACCTCCGAACACTTCCCAGTCCAGAGAAACCTCCAAACCCTTCGCAGTCCAGAGAAACCTCCGAACCCTTCGCAGTCCAGAGAAACCTCCGAACACTTCCCGGTCCAGAGAAACCTCCGAACACTTCCCAGTCCAGAGAAACCTCCGAAGACTTTCCAGTCCAGAGAAACCAACGGCACTTCAGAATCAATTTACATATTTCAACTATCTTTCCCTCAATGTACCTGACACCTTCCATAACCATGTGCTTATGTTCACCCCTACACTGCACCATACACATTAGAGTGTAAGCTCCTCTGTATAGACACTGCGACTGTGGGGGAGGGGCATTAGAGTGTAAGCTCCTCTGTACAGAGACTGATGTGACTGGTTTATTGTTCTCTGTACAGCACTGCGGTATATGTCAGAGATATATACCTGTATATGCATGCCTCTCTCCTCCAGACCAGGTTAGGGTATGATGCATAGGCGGGGAGTCATTGGTCCACTGTGACGAGCTGTGATCTGCAGGACTCTCGGAGCCTTCCAGGCAGATTCTATTGCGCAATCAAAGAGGACAGAAAACCTCCCCAATTGGCCTTCATGACCCCCGATAAGCCGGCACCATCCTCCCCTCCTCCAAAAATGAAATCACAGTTTGAATTTAACATTAAAGTATATGTAAAGCGAGAACGTACTTCCTGTTGTGTCTCTGGCACAGGAAGTTAGAAGAAATCTCCATGATGAGATGAATCTCCCAAAAAACACTCATCGGGGTTTGACCTTTGGCTTTCACTATCCGAAAACTGCAAAATATATTTTGGTTTACAATAGGCGGACACAGACCCTGCTTAGGGTTGCCACCAATCCGGGATTTGAATGCTGTGTTCGGGTTTCATGGCAGCTGAAACCCGGACACGAGATGTCAGGCAGACAGGGGCAACCAGAATTAACCTACGGGCTACTGGCCCCACACTGAAAAAGTCTCCACTGTGGTATTTACATATGAATAAGCCGCGACTCCTTCTCCCCAAAAACATTTCAGTCACCAGAGTGTTCAGGTTTCACTAGAAGAAAAGGTGGCGCCCCTCACCCTGCTGTATGTAACCATAGTCCTGTACGGTAGACTTGTGCGCCGTCAAAAAATTTGTTCTGTTTCGTTTCGTTTCGGAATATCCGTTATTTCGTGTTTCGTAATTCGTAACTGAACTCAATTCGGATTCGGATTCGGACGAAATACGAATTTTCGTTAGTGGCGGTTATATTTTCGTACCTTTACGAACATTCGTTATGATGAAGTTAAAAAGCAAAATACCTTTGTTAATATTGGAGTGGTAGTTGTTTTTTTATCCGAAATACGAATTCCGTTAACGGATTCCGTATTCCGAATTCCGTATTTCGGACTTTAAAAAAAAAAACTACCATCAACTCCAATATAAATGTACTTTGCTTTTTACCTTCAATATAACGAATGTTCGTAACGGAACGAAAATACGTCAACGGAATTTCGTATTTACTGCCTGTATTTGTAATGCAACTCTCAGCAGCAGAAGAGAACCTCTGATTGGTCAACCAAAACGAAATACGAATTCCGTTAACGGATTCCGTATTCCGAATTCCGTATTTCGGACTTTAAAAAAAAAAACTACCATCAACTCCAATATAAATGTACTTTGCTTTTTAACTTTAATATAACGAATGTTCGTAACGGAACGAAAATACGTCAACGGAATTTCGTATTTCCTGCCTGTGTGTGTAACTGTGTATTGTAATGCATCAGCAGCAGCGGATCCGTATCTCGGATTAAAAAAAAATCTTGTCATGCTGTTCAACCTCATTTACAGGGGTAATATTAGTTCCTGTTTCAAAGAAATTCGGATCCGAAATTCGTTAACGGAATTTCGTATTTCGGATATAATTCGGAAACTGCCATTCGGATTTCGGATGCTCCGAAATTCGGAATTTCAGGAAAATTCGTACGAATTTCGATTCGTAACGAAACGAATCGCACATGTCTACTGTACGGCCAAACACACTTTAGTAAGTCTGATATTCACTGAATGATGCCATTTGCTGTTCCATGTTACAGGGGAGCTGCAGGTCGTGCCCCAGTGCCGGCTGCCCCGTGATGGGTCACTACGCCGATTCCTACCGAGGTGTCACCAACTCCAGCCAAGCCTTTTACCTGAACACGGCGTGACGGCGGCCCGGTGAGTGACTCGCTGGCTCTCTATGGCGTTTCTTGTTGGAATCTCTCATTGTGGAACTTCAAAGTGCTTTCCTTTTTTTGTATAGAATAGAGAGAACCTCTGTGGGCATTCATCGACGTCCGGGTCCGTGTTGGGAAGATATGACCTCACTTCCTGTCTCATATACCATCCTCTGTGGAACCGGAAGTGAAATCTCGCCGACGCAGACGTGACCCATTCAATGCACAACTGAACTTCAGTTTAAATCCGCTAAATACTTTCCACGAGCATCAAAACCTGTCCAGAGTCTCACAGTTCATTATTTTCCTAAAGAAGACAAGCCTGTCCCCTGCCAGCATGCTGCAGAGAAGAACCCTTGCTCTCTGTGTGGAAGCAGTGGTCTCTATGCAGAGGTTCAGTCCCATCTAGAGTTCTCCAATCAGCAGGAGGGACCATCACCTCTGCTATCCTCAGAACTATAGCTCTAGAATCAGCAGGGGGGAGGGGGGTCTGACCTCTGCAGAGAGACGGCTGCTTCCGCACACAGTGCAAGGGTCCTTCTCGGCAGCATGCTGGCAGGGGACAGGCTGCTTCATAAAGGACGCCACCTGTAAGACCTCGCACACACTTTGTTTTGCTGCTCCTGGAGTGTATTTGGCTGATTGGGTTCCACGTGGACTGATCTGTGTGATGTCGCGATGCTGCGATTTCCGTTTCTTTGTCTCAATAAGACGAAACTGAGAGATTTTCTGTCAGAAGATTATAATATGATTTGTATTTATTTTCAGATGAAATCACGGGTGACCACGGACCGGGAGCGGCGACCACCAGGCCCCTGTGTTATCACTGATCAATAAATCTTACTGTGAAATCAGTTTCTCAGCGTCGTACTTCAATACCTCAATGTTTAAAATGGCTGATGAATTCACCGCGGGGGTGTAAATTGGGAAGGGAGATAATGGAGTCCTCCAGAGAGCCGGCGGTGCCGAAGCTCTGACCAGTACAGCCTATGAGGGAGAGGGCTGTAAGCTCAGTCATGTGACCAGGATGAGACTGTACCGTGTGACCTGCTGTACCTGGGGGACTGCGAGCAGAGTGGGGGGTATGAAAGACAAAGCTGGAAAATAGTGGGGGGTGTTTAATATGGGGAGCGGATGTACCACATGTGGGGTGCAGGTTGTGGTACTCTGTGTGTGTCATTTGAGGGATATTATATGGGGGAGATGACTGTGTAATGTGGGGTACAGTTTGAGGTGTGATGCCCATGGAGGGGGGGTTCCTATTCCTCCTCTATCTCTACTGTGAGGGGGTTCCTGATGCTAAGAGCGGACTCTGAGGTATAGGGGGGACTCGGATCTAGGCTGAATTTTCATGGTATCTCCCACAGGTGACAAAACTGAAATCCAATAAATGAAAAGCACAGGGCCAGGGACAGTCAGGCTGGGGAGGAAAGCACTGGATGATGCCAGACGTCCTCCAGCCAGGAAATGAGGCGGCCTCTAACTGACTTGCTGCAGCTTCTAATGCACATTGTGTGAAGCTCCCAGTGTGCGGTGACATTGAGGAGAGGAGCCGGCACAACTGTCCAAGACTGAAGGGGAGGACGGAGGTCAGATATAAGACTTAAGGGGAGGACGGAGGTCAGATAGAAGACTGAAGGGAAGGACGGAGGTCAGATAGAAGACTGGAGGGGAGGACGGAGGTCAGATAGAAGACTGAAGGGAAGGACGGAGGTCAGATAGAAGACTAAAGGGAAGGACGGAGGTCAGATAGAAGACTGGAGGGAAGCCCCCCCAATATATACATTATGCGTTACTAAGCCCAGAGTCCAGTGCGTTACTAAGCCCAGAGTCCAGTGCGTTACTAAGCCCAGAGTCCAGTGCGTTACTAAGTCCAGAGTCCAGTGCGTTACTAAGTCCCTGATATAGATGATAGTCGTCCCCACAAATCTACAATGTATATAAAAGGCCCACTTGTGATGAGTATACCGTGCTGTATAACGTGAATTGTGCACCCGGCACTACGGTGATTAAAAAATTATTTCGTGTTCCTTGTGATTTCCACCTTCCACACGCGATAGAATAACTCTCACCTCTCAATGCGATCTCATGTTATAAAGGTCTAGAGACGCCACTTCCCTTTTTTCATACCCAGGCAGGAAGACAGCCGATGTTTTAACAGTGAAAAACGTCCTCATTTTCCTCCACTGAAAGGATGACCTTCTCCGGTGGTGGAAGCGCTCCCACCCGATATTAATGAATGTTAGCAAATGGAGACGAGCAGGACACTCCATAGTATTATTATTACACAGGATTTATAGAGCGCCAACAGTTTGCGCAGCGCTGTACAATATAAGGAAGACATTACAATCACAATACAATTCAAGACAGGATGGTAAGGAGGGTCCTGCCCCTGAGGGCTTACACTCTAAGAGGGAGGGGCCAGTGATACATGAGGAGGAAGCTGTGTGGGGATGAATTGTTTGATGACGTGAAGGTTGAGTGGTCAGGTTGAGGTGGGATCGGCTTCCCTGAAGAGATGAGTCTTAAGGGAATGCCTAAAGGCAGTCAGAGTGGGAGATAGACGGACAGGTTGGGGTAAAGAGTTCCAGAGGATGGGGGGGACTCTAGTGAAGTCCTGGAAGAAGCATGAGAGGAGTTGACAAGGGAGCTGGAAAGCAGGAGGTCTTTTGAGGAGCGGAGGGGACGGTTAGGGTGATACTTTGAGATATAGCCGGGGGCCGTATAATCATTTAACGTTTAATATGGTAAAAACATACTATTGGGAGTGGAAATCACAAGGAACATGAAGGAATTGTTTAATCACCGTAGTGCCGGGTGCACAATTCACGTTATACTGCTCGGTATACTCCTCACAAGTGGAACTTTATATACATTGTAGCTTTGTGACTAAAGGAGACGACTGTCATCTATATCCTTGGTTCTCAACTGGTGGGTCGTGACCCCATGTTCAGTGGGTCACCGCATGTCTTCCACTTTTCTAGTTTTGAGGCTCCTCAGCCTCCCCATAGTGCAGCACCGTCCATTCTTGCACCGAGCAGCCATTCAAAATATGCTGCCCGGCGCTGAGTGTTGACTTGTCGAGGTGGGGTGGGCTGGGGGTATGGCTGCGAGGGAGTTCCGCTCATACATGCATTGCTTACAGCTGCCTCGCATGTCCTGTAGAGGAGCCTGGACTGGAGCGACGTCACATTCTGCCTCCCGGAACCTCTACAGGGCGCGCATAGGAGCTGTACAATCAATGCACATACGGATGGAGCTCCATTACAGCACAGCACACCCACACTGCCGTGCGTTCCATTGCAGTGCGATTTGGGTCGCGACTTAATGACCGAGGACAAATGTGGGTCCTGAGGTTACACAGGCTGAGAACCGCTGATCTATATGAAGCCTATAATTCTGGCGTCGTGTTTGAATGAATACATTTTGTTACATTGTTTGAAGCACTTAAAGTTTGCTGCAGTATGACGTCACACAGCAAATGCTACATCTGTGTATTGGATGAGATTAGATATCTAGTTGAGAGCGCGGCACAATTGTCATGTTTATTTAATAAAATCCTGGCACTGATTCAGCTGAGATTACAGGGTTAGAACTATTCAATGAAATGATTGGAGGGGGGGAGGGGGGTGTTAGAGATGAACTGTACTGGTGGATGATGATGATTATACATTATATATATTGTGTATACGTTGTATTGCATTACAGATACAGATGAGATACAATGTATATGGATGTTGTTGAGGGCGCACTGCTGTACATGGTGTCTGCAATAAGGAAGAGTGGAATATGGGTAAGAAGATGCGGATAGACATGACTATGGACAGTTGTGGGAATCTAATGGTGTGTAGAAGCCGCCAGCCCAGTCATCAGATAATCTATACAGACTTCACTGCTACACCATAGGATAGCAATCCCAGGGCCTAGGGCTCTGGAAGTTTTTAATGCAACCTCTGCTCCTTCTCTCTATTATTATTATACAGGATTTATAGAGCGCCAACAGTTTGCGCAGCGCTTTACAACGTAAGGAAGACATTACAATCACAATACAATTCAAGACAAGATGGTGAGGAGGGCCCCGCCCCTGAGGGCTTACAGTTTAAAAGGGAGGGGCCAGTGATACATGAGGAGGGAGCTGTGTGGGGATGAATTGTTTGAGAAGGTGATAGCTCAGTGGTCAGGTTGAGGTGGGATAGGCTTCCCTGAAGAGATGAGTCTTTAGGGAATGCCTAAAGGCAGTCAGGGTGGGCGACAGACAGACATGTTGGGGTAAAGAGTTCCAGAGGATGGGAGAATCTCTAGAGAAGTCCTGGGGGCAAGCATGGGAGGAGTTAACAAGGGAGCTGGAAAGCAGGAGGTCTTGGGAGGAGCGTAGGGGACGTTTAGGGTGATACTTTGAGACCAGGTTTGAGATATAGCCGGGGGCGGAGTTGTGGATGGCTTTGTAAGCGATTGTTCATATTTTGAATGTTATCCTTTGGGCAAGTGGAATCCAGTGCAGGGATTGACAGAAGGAGGTTGCAGACACTGAGCGGTTGGTTAGGTGGAGGCCAATGAGGAGGGAGTTGCAATAGTCAAGACGAGAGATAACAAGGGAATGGATGAGTAATTTTGTGGTTTCTTTGCTGAGGAAGGGGCGTATTTTGGAAAAGAAATGGAAATCATCCAATAGGGAACCTGTTCTGGTCACAACTGTCTACAAGGGGACTTCAATCTCCTTTCAGACAGGCTGTGTTCTTTTGAAGCTGTAGAAGGAGGGAGAGAGGGGGAGGAGTCTGTGCTCCGGAGGGGGAGGGGTCACTGCTCCTATTCATTTGTATACATTTCAACTTGATCTACTGAGCTCGGTAAACAACAGAGTGATAAAGGAGTCCCCAAAAATCATGGTAACAAATGAGCTGTGTAGAACTTCATGCCATTTTTTTTAACTTTGTAATTTGTTAGTCCTGTCTAAAAATAAATCAAATATGTACATAACCAATAACATTGCC